TCTTACAACTTAGAAACAGCCTTAGCAGATCCGAGTATTCTCAGCAACCATTCGTGCCGTTTTACTCTATGGCTGAGAAACATGGCCGCTGCGATCCGAAGACCCCCAAAAGCTGGAAGTTCTCGACCATTGGTGTCTACGGCGCATCTCGAAAACATAGTAGCATGAGTGTATCACCAATGGCGAAGTCCGTAAGGGCTTTTACAGTCTTCCGAAGCTCACAACGCTCATACAACGTCGTAGACTTCAGTGGGTCGGTCACGTCCTCCACAGACCAGACACTGACTTCAGTAGGGCCGTGGTTTCACCCTCGTCTTGTCAGGGTTGGTGTCGTCACGGTGGACAATTGAAAACTTGGCTCACTGCAATGAAATCGGCTTTCGATCATCAGGGACTCCATGTTGTGCATGATGCGCGCAGCTGGAGGAATCACTGGATTAGTATCTGCATGGAGCTTGCTGCCGACCGCCGCGCTTGGGCAGCTGCAATCCACGACATTCATGAAGCCGGCTCATCCTATCGCATGAGCTAGCCGCAGTAAAGTAAATAACTAAATGAATGTTTCGTTGGAATCAAGAAACATAACCGCGAAAACTTGCACTGCATAGTCCATTCTTTCTTGAGGTCTATACGGTAAAACAATCTCTGTGAGGCTTCTGAGTTCAACCTGCGCTCGCAAGCAGCGATTGTGAGGTCTGTGCTCCCTTCAACCTGTCTACGTGATATTCGATCTCACGACATCACACATGCACTGACCTTAGAAAACATTCATATCAGAAACTCGGTGTGGTTCCAATCGTCAATCCAGATGACGAGTCAAATCATCGATCTGATAATTATTGCGAATAATTGAGGCTCGGGCGTGGATGGAGGTGTTCGGTTGTTCTCCAAGCTTGATGGTTTGGATGCACACTTTTTGTTACCAGACTAGGCGGCTTAACCAGCGGCAATTTTAGCGCTTATTTGGATGAGGCGGGTAATTGTCGAGGCATGGGCCCATTTGCATTGGCCACAAGACACGCAACAGCGAGTTCCTACCCATTGTATATGGCAACGGGAAGGAACTATCATTACATCTTTAACCAGTGAGAATAGTTTCCGGCTATCGTAGATTCATGCAGCCATTTCTCTTAAAAAGCACTAAAATAACGAGTACGGAACACATTTGAGCGGGTTCCCGATGTCGTTGCTCCACACCTGTAGAACGTATTGAAACCCTCTCGCATTGGTAAGGTATATAGTCATCTGAAGGTTTACAAATTAGCCTCGTCCCAGTAAGCTAAATCGCACCACCACCGTACATCCAAGAATAGTAAGCAGGACGTGTTCCCCAACCTAAAGAGGAACTGGAATCCGCAGTTATCCTACGCATTAGTTTGGTTAACAACCTTTAATCCTGGAATTGATAAGTTCATCTAGCGAAGCGTGTGGACTCGATCTCGCCCGGCACACTTCATTTCGACCAATTGCATCGGACGACTTGCGCGTTTGGACGAAGTGCATGAATGCTGATTGCGTACGTCTAGCCATTATCGCTAATAACGTGTGGATTCAATCGAATTGCACGGCAATAGGCTTGAGGAGGTTGTTCAGATTCCAGTTGCGGCATCAGGCGCGAATTCAAGGTGTTGATTGGAAGCGAGGAGTGAGGGCCACGTGCCTTGTGCATAACCGGTTTGACTAGACTACGTGGAAGTAGGCTTGGATCACATGTGAGAATCCGCTCAAGTACGATTATTTCTACTTCAACTAACTGACGATATGAAAGTAGCCTCTGAATTTGCATGGTCCCATACATTCACAGAGTCACCCGCCACTGAAAGTGCGCGGATTAATCGTTTTGTCTAACCGGGGATTGTCGTCGGTAGTCAACTACAATTCGCGCTGTCTTGGCTCGGAATCATGGAGGACCCCTAGGAGATGATCGCGTCCAACAAATCCAATTGTAATAGCACAGCGGTCTGGCTATCTGTGGCCGCAAAACCGTCCAATCAATTATACACTGAGAAGCAATCACTGGTGCATATGTAACAAGTTTGAAGAAAAATCCGATACTCCCACTGAACACCGGCTCATTCGTCCTCATGCATACATTCTTGCAACACAAACTCGTCCGAACTGGTGAGACAAATTTGCTTACGGTCGAAAACATCTCTGGACACCGTAGTCCAAATCTCGCCCTGTTGTACTCAGTGAACAAGAATTTCTGCAAACCACCTCATTACCGCTCAGCCGTACTTGATACACCTGCTCCCCACCACCGAAGTCTTCCCAACGCTGTAGTTTCCGTTAGCTGTCAACTTGAAAAACTCAATCGGCCATGCATGTGTGCACGGTGCTCGTGAGTTTCTGTGTGCATTTGTGTGTTGGTCCAGCCCCACAGTGTACCCGGCTGTACCTCCAACCAGTGTACCAAGCACGTTTAGCTACTGCGCTACGTGTAGAGTTGCGTATGGCAAACATCGACAGTTCTCACCTCGAAGTAAAAATGTCGCATCAGGTGCATGCGTTCGCACCCCAACCGGTACTCTCTTTACGGTGATATTGCAGTAGGGACGAATTTCTGTCCCAACGAGTGTGTTGATGCGTGTGTACACATGGATACGAGACCACATTGACAGGATGTCCACCAAAGCTGGTTCATTCCCACTCGAGGTGAACGAGGAGCAAAAGGATGAGAACCGGATAAAAGTGTTTCAATCGAAACCATTTTCCATGTAGGTAACCAAGTGCCGAACGTGCACGGGACGCAAGTACGAACGCCTTACGATCTCTTCTACCGCATCCTTTTTGATACGTGACACAGGAAAGGGGGCCGAATCTAATCCGGTACAAAAGGTTGACCCGAATGCTTCTTAATGAACTCGATGGCGTCCATTTACATACCTGGGAGAGCAATGTTTGCGGCTGTCCCAATATAAAACAGCTCTACCTCGCGTTAGTGTTAAATACATAGACGAACAACCATTCGCTGTGGTCTATGAAACCAGCTGTCTAGGTGATTGTAAATTCTGCAGTAATCAAGTCGTCAAGTATGCTCCTGCGCAATTCAATCTATCCCGTGTGATTGTGTACATTAAGGGAAGGATGCACGACCCTGTAACTTTATTTCCCAAACAGTACGAGGTTCGTGGTCGCTGTACATTGAAAATACTGGCGGACGCCTGGTGTCCAGGGAATATCGCTCAAATTTGGTGGGGACAGGTATTGAATACAGGTAATGTCAACTAGTTAGCCTTTCCTCACAATCCTCAAATGCAGAGTTTCCCATGATCTTGTCTACGGCACGATGAATCACGATACATAAATTGTAAAACAGATCTAATCTGCTCAGGCTCCCAGTTGGGAAAGCCGGTTTTCCCCAGTAATGTTCCTGTTACTGCGCTGGGCCGATTTGACTGACTGCCATGGATTAACTAATCCAAAGGGCCATCTATTATCAGATAATACTTATGAAGGAAAGTAACTGTGACTTCGCTCTATGTGACCTGTACATCCAACACCAGTTTTTTTGTTTGCGGTTGGAGCCAATACACTTGTACGATAATCCATTGTTTTCCTTTATTCGGGGTCGATTATTACATGCTAGTTCATCCCTTTGCGGCTCGTTACAAGGTCACATCGGGTCGACACAACACGACACCTTCAAAGCTGGACGACGCCACCAATGACTACGATCAATGGGACTAAGAAGAGTATGCATGTCCGAAAACAAAGCCGTGATGGGGTTGTTAGCATTATGGCTCTCGTGTACCAGCTGATCAACGTTGCACAGATCTTGGATGGCTTTTCGGTACATCAATACTATCGTCCGCTCTCCTCTACCTTCTTCAGTAGTCTCCTCATAGTGACTGTGTTCCGGGCTATGCCGGTTTGTGGGAAACCTTGCGTTCGCATCTTCATGTTACAATGGGAGCCGCAAATAATAACTAGCTGTGATTAAGCTATTTCATATGTTACAATCATGAGAGTTGCAGGAGAAGCTTTTAGAAACCGGTGTGATACTATTACCCCATATTACGAATACAGTGTGCACCTACAAATCTGATATGGTCCAGTTGATAAACAACCACTTCAGGCAACCAATAACGTGTTTCAAATATCTACATATCTTAGAAGTGCAAGAAGAAAAAAACATTTTTTCATGGTATTATAAGCTGAATTCTGTGCACTTCGCTAATTGTCATTCGGCCGCGTACATACTAATGGTGAACATTTCAAACGAACGGGAGGGAAACGGAATCAATACCAAGAGCCGATAATCCGCGGTGGCAGTGCTTTTACAGATACAGTCACATCTTACCATGTCAGAGCAAGGTTGGTCACAAATTCCAGTCGCTTGGTTAAGGTTGGACTTTAAGCGCCGGATGGCAGCAACCACAGCGAACCGGAGCAGGTTCGAATTGTTTAGTCCGCTAAGAACTTCGAAAGATTCCCGGGGGGTTTCGACACATTGCACAGTCGAAAAGTAGCCTAACAATTGAGCTAACTGCCACTTTCGCAACAGCCAAAGCTAGATTTCATAGCATGCACGTGCGGTATCAAATACATCGGTCGGTCTGAGAGAACGCTGTCAATCCGGATTTCGGAGCACATCCCGCGTAACTAGCCTTGGCTGGTGGGAAAGTACCCGCTAGCTCAATAACTAGGCATCTGTTCGACTGTACAATATGTCAAACCCCCGAAAAGCACACGAAATTCTTAGCAGGCAAATTGATCCGAACCTGTTCCGTTTCGCTGTTGATGCCGCCATCCGGCACTGAAACCCAACCCATGCAGGCAACCGGAACTTGTGGTCACTCTTGCTTTGTCGTGGTAAGATTTGAGTATACCTGCAGAGGTAACACCGCAGCTGATTATCGACTATTTGTATGTACGCGACTGAATGTGAAGACGCCAACTACAATGAATACAAGATATCCCGCCAGCTGCAAGGGTTTTCCTTCTTGTGCTTTTAAAATTCTTAAATGGGTGCTTACATGGAACTTTTAAAGAAATACCTGAATATCTGCTGCTTCGAGCCTCTGTTGAAACTGTATATGGGAAGCCGTTGTCACAGCAGGTGTAGTTGAATGGTGTAGCTGTCTCCGACGCAGTGCTTGACTCCTTCGGAAGCAGCGAGTCGACTGTACTCATTTCAGCAGCTTCACTGAGATCATGGTCTCCTCGAGGAGAACCAACGGTTGCAGTGGCTCTTCTCTGGGTCGAACACTCCTTCGTTGAATGACTATCAGCGATTAACGTGGATGGGTTCGGGGACGGTGATGAGTTGTTGATAAGCTGAGTGCTGGATACCTTTACTGGAAAACCACTGGCTGGTGGTCCAATGCTGGGTGATAGATTGTTTAGACCGGCAAAGGAAAGTGACTTGACAAGAAGGTCTTGACTGACCAACCAGGGGAATGAATCGACGTCCAGCCGTGAAACACAAGGCGGCATTTTGGTGGTCTGGGGCTGTGGCACTTGGATCGTTGCCGATGGCGGCTGATCTTGTCTCGCTACCCTTGTCCTATTACCGACTGCTAAATCCAGTCCCTGTTCACTGCCAACATGTAGCCGTGCGTCTGTCAAAGTCCCCTGAGATGACGAGCGCAGGTCGGCGGTGACAGGCGCAGTAGTCGAGTTTGTGACAGCAATTGCTCGGAGTAACTGACCAAGGGGATTCGTGGTGGCACCTGCAGATGAGGGTTGAGTTAACAAGTGGGGATGGACGAACTTCGGGTCAGTTTGCGTATCGGATGGAATTGTCAGTGCGGATGGAAACAGTGATGGTTGGTTGAATAAGGGGACGGAGTTGGTGGAAGCATTTGGCGAAATTAATTGACTCAATGCTGTCAGGGTCGCAGCAGCTGCTGCTCCAGGAAATAAGGCTGCCGTTAGCGAATGCAATGCCTCCACTTGTTGTGGTTTGTCTGTACATGCAGGCGAGGGTAACCCGATCGGATCGGGTGAGGCAGGCACAGTCAGTCTAGCTTGATGTTGAATCATGTTCAGCAGAATCTCTTCAATTGGGAAAGGGGATGGGTTTGTCCTCAACAGTTGATTCATGGGATGGACGATAGTTGGCACCGGGGCAGGCACGTGTGTATCGATTGGAGCAGTTCCGAAGGTAAAGCCTGCGGAAACAAGTATACGCTTTAAAATAACTTCGCTGGGTACATGAACGGTGTTACAAATAGCATTTGTCCAGGGTCAGCCCTAGACCCTGGTTATAACACCACTCCGGTTGCGCCTACTTAGGCCCTGTGGATGATACTGATTCGGAAATCTTTATGCTCAGTTTCAGTATAATTGAGAAGTGACCCTCAGTGTCAACTTACTATGTCATTACAGATTTATTGACGAAATATGCTGGGATAAACATTCTCTGATTGAGAACTGCTCAAATACTGTCATTCTTATAAACAAGTGTCAGATAGAAACCCACAAAATCTTGCCCTAGGTCAAATAATTCCTTGTATGCCACCAAAAATTGCTGACCTTCAAGGGGCTGGATTTCGAGGTCGGCCTACCCATCCTTGGGACTGATCAGATCATATGTGACAGACAGAGGTGCCATAAGCGCACAGTAACTACGCTGAATCAGCACATACACTATCGTATAGAGCACACTGCCGCATCTCATGGTAGAGAGGCTGCATCCATCTGAGTTAATATTGCCCAGGTCTGACAAACCGGGTTGTGCCGGCTCTACTGGTACATTCGAGGTAGCGATTGATTCATTTCAGACATACCTATTGTGTTATGATATACCTCACCACTGGGCAACAACAGACAAAGTAGGCGTAAAAGCGGTGGAATTTGGAACTGAGATACCTACATATTGATAGACCATATCGTTGGTGACCGTGGTGGAAAGTAAGTGCCATTTGTTTGGTGCTAGATTTTCCCACTGAATCAAAGCAATACAAGCGTGTTACTCTATTTCAAGTCTGTACATTAGCAACGCTTCCATGTGGAAACTGCTGAGCAGTGCGCCGTTGATTTCGGTGCAGCATTTTCGACTCCTGGCAAACATCACGTAGCGTGGTTGAGATATCCACACACATCTAACTACACATTCGTGACTTATGTACTCAAGCGTGCACAGGACTTAAAGACAGTTGAGGTCGTTATTTGATCGCATGCATGAAAAATAGATTGCCACCCAACAAAAGCAGCTCCTAATAAACACCTAAGAAAAAAGTGTTATTGACCAGTTCCCTAGACCATTCCAAATGATGCATCGGACACACACTAGCAAATTGGTGTTCCTAATTCTATTTTCAAAGTACGCATCCGTGCAGTAAGTGGTGCCAATGGCAGTTACATTGGTTACCTGACGCAACTACATGCTTTAGTGTTGTTTTGCTTCACCATCTAGCTCTAGACAACATCCATTCTGGACATGGTCCTGTCGTGAAGGTATATCCGATTACGCTGTATAATGGGCACGGTTCTCTTGGATGCGAATGCAAGACTTAGTTAAAGGTGTAGTAGGCTCCACCAGCGTCGTATCTGTTTAACTTGCTAGTAATCCCGACACTTTATACAGCTTCTGTGCGTTGAATTTAGCGGAAGCTTAAGCCTGTGGACATCATCTAACATCATGTCTACATACTTCCTTCGGGTATACCCAGTGGAAAATGGAAGGCGAGCCTAAGAACTTGTGTTTCACGAGGCCGAACATTAGCAACTCAACGCATCATACCGCTCAAATTAACCATCTTATGATGGCTACAAAAATGGGAACCAATTCCAGTCGGACCAAGGCGCGCCATGGTGGGGCGCTCACAGTGCATGAAGGCGTGGCCATACTGGTATTCTTGGGAAAACTGTCTCAGCCATGCGGAATGTCCAGATGGCTGATTGAATGGGAAAATCTTATCCACAGCACACATCTGTCCACTAATGAGCCGCAACGCTTTCCAATTTCTGGTTCCCTCCAACAAGGAACAGCAAGGAAGTAATCCACTGAGCCCGTAGGTCAACAGCGAAAAGCTTCTATGATGCACGAGTGATTGCTGCCATTATTTTCAAGACCCATCACATGCAATACAAAATCATTTCACTCGGTCTGTAACTGCCCATTCATGTGCTGTACTCCCACTGCCCACACTACCCCTGTTCAAACACACACAAGTATATAGGAAATGTTAAATGGGTGAAGACAACAGGGTGTATGCAGGACAGACAAGTTGCTAAGTTGTGGATGGACTTTGCTGTCAATCTCTGTAATGGCGTTTTGGCGATCGAGAACCAACCTCATACTTGTTGTTCTTGGGCGGTGGAAGGAAATACTACTTACCCATTTGTTGCAGCAGATGTTGCGCACAATGTTTATCCAATTCTGTCCGGTTAGAGAATGTCTGTGGACACAGGTCACATTGCAGTGAATCGCTTGGTCTACTCGTTGGCGCAGCAGTGATTGGTGATCCTGTGGTGTTGTCCATCTTGAAAGTCAAACTGGTCACCGCGGATGCAGCTTGGCTGTTGGACGGAGCAAAAATATTCAAGCCAACGGGGAGGGGAGGAAATGAGAGTATATTTGCGTCACTCTTTCCAAACACGTTAAATGAACTCGTCAACTTCGATGTGACACCAGTGTCTTCCAAGGAGTGAGCAGATGAGGTAGCAGATGACGCGGTAGTGTGGGCTGGAGAGCAGCAGGACGGAAGCGCCTCGGTGGCACTGGCTGAAAGGGATTTCCTCTCATACAAGGTGAGGTTCCTCTGTTCCTCTGCATGTGGACTGTTGGATACTCTCACTGCACCATGCTCCGTAGCTTCATGTTCTTGTAACTGGCTGGAGTGGAGGAATTGCCGAGGACAGAATCGGCAGGAATAACTACGATTGTTGCAACTTCGCTTCATATGTGTATTTTTGTGACGGTTTAAAGATCCTGTAACATAAAAGTTTTGATATGTAGATAACTGGATCAACAGTAGGGAACTGCAGAAGAAAGTTAACCATGACCTAGATTTGTAATGCCTTTATCAAACTCATTCCTGCTAGTGAAAGTAATTTACAAGTGTTAGCCAAACATCTGTGGCTAGGGTACCATTAGTACGCTGTGGGTGCCGTCTGCTTTACTTACTTATCATTGCGCTAGGGAGTAAAACTGGAGGCGAGAGAATAGAAAATCCAAAACGCCACGTTAAATATGACCTACATTCCTTCATAAGAAAAAGTCACACAGGACAGTAAAACCAAGCAAGTTAAAAGTGGTGGCCGTTGACGGTGGCGTGCTTCGACGGTGATTGCAAAGTTAGCAGAAGTGAGTCGACAGAACTCGAAAATTGGGACATCATGCGACGCACTGGTTGTACCGGATATAGCAATTCAACGAGATCAACTATAAGTTGTCGGGTACCTGGAAGCACCAACAGTGACTGACCAAAGATATAGAATGCAACCAACAACGAGCTGCGTCGTAGGTGAATGCTGTAGATCTCCTCAGAGACCTTAGGTTTAGACTTGTCTATTCCGCTCAGTTTAATACGAATGTTAGTAGTTAACCACTTTAAATAGCTAAATTCGGGGCCGCCACGTGTTCAAACACTATTCCCTGAAGTAGTAGATATATCTGTGGATAGTATGTGCTGTGCAAGGGCGCGTTCACTGCCTACTGCTGGGACTGGCGAACATTAATCTTCGATATGATGCAATAACAGGTAAACGAGGTTTTTATGATCACGAGAGGAACAGACAAGCACTGCTCTATTTCAATCTTTAAAATCCGGAACTCGTGAAAGCTGTGCTCAGATTAATTTGCCCAAAGCAAATACCTCGTAATTCTTAACCGCCAAGGTTAGAACCTTAGCGTTTGTGGACAAGTACCCGTCCTTGCCATGAAGATTAAATCCACTGTGCTGCCATTGTATACTCCAAGCCAATTGCTAAACTCACATTCGGTTCAAATCGCCATTAGATGGAGTAACTTCTCTGACCAATAATAAAGGCAGAGCACATCGATTAGCTTGGACTGCCTAGCGATCGAAGGTGGCATTTCCTCATCAACCAAGCGCAAGCTAAGAAACAGTCACTAAAAATTGAACTTGAAAGTGCACCGAAGTTGTAAATATTATTCATGTTGCTATTACGATAATGGTATATTAGTGTACAAAGCAGAGGGCGTGGAAAATTACCATCGCATCAGAATGATGGCAGTCACCTCAAGTGAACTGTTTGGCCATCCATGAATACCTGGATGTGAATCCATTTCGACCCCGGATATAGTACAATGGAGAGTTGGCATTTCTTCCAACGCTGAAGTTTATTCCAGCTACCTTATGATGCTTTGTGTTATGTTAATACGGACCAACAGCACAGAATAAGGCATAAGTTAGTCGGAATTTCTTGAAGTGTCACGCCAAGAAATTCTGGTGTGTATCGTCTGACGAGCATCACTGAAGCAAGCTTCATAGCAGTGAAAGGAATGGGTGGCAACATCCGATTCCGGATTTGATTGTCACTGTGGCCTTCATAGGACAGACACAGGAGACCTGCACCTACAGAGGGACCATGGGTGGCTTGCGCTACACCACCCACAGCTCCATCCACACCCCGTATCCAGTGTAAACCCGAAGGAATAAGACCGGGAGGCATATGGATGGGAGCCATGTTTCATCAACAAAGCCGGCCCATACTCCTTCAATATACACAGCAGCAGCATTTCTTTCTATCTATGTAGGGAACCAAGCGAACCAGACGTACAAAAGGCCGTAGTCTGCTCCAAACTGGATGGAACCACTCTTTGCGCTTAACATGGCCACGAGAACCACGCACCCCGTCGCCCCAGCAACGATTCAATCCCCTGGAGCCAGTAATCGAGGTGGAGGGTGTTAGAGAGGTAGGCACCTTGTCAACATTCACATCAAGCTCAGCCACACAGGGGATATCAAACAACCAAGGTAGAATTTAAGGAAAAGTAAATATGCGAAATTGTCACAGGAAATACAACAGAGTAGTAGTTTTGAACAAACCAAACAAAGAGGAATGACTTTTATCCAGATTAAAAAGACATACACCTACATATTTGCGTACACACATAGATCCGGTATGTTAGTGGTTAACCCGGGACATTTTGATATAATTACCGACCATACGTGATTGTACTACCATAATCATGCCTTTGCAGGCGTGCCTCACACTGCTCAGAATGTAACATCTGTTTTGTTTTACTTATTCATTTAAACAACTTCTTGATGCTCTGGTCGACGCAGAGGATAATAAACGGTGCCTTCTCCGCTGCATCGAGCAGGGTAGATAGGTGTTTGGATGCTACTGCTCAAGCCCTCCCGTTTTCTTATTCCCCTGGTACGCTTTTTTACTCTGAACGTCCCGTTACCAAGTTCAGTTTTATCCCCCATTTTAAACCCCCAATTCGTGGCCCTCCCCTACCTTTGATAGGCGTTTAGCTTCTAGTTTCAACTCACATGCAAATGCAGAGCGTCACTCTCGCTCTGTCGACAAGCCCATGTGCTAACAAGCGGTCAAGTCCAGCAATTCGGCTTCCATATGGGGCCCTTGATCCCTCAGATTGGCATGCCACAATGGATGCACATTGTGACGGATGGGTCAACAGGACGTTTCGATCGATAGCTGCTGCTTATGGGAAACCCGCCTGCACGACTCGAGTTCTGTGCTAGCTTTGCAATCCCCTTCAGGTGACACCAGCAATGCTTCCTCATTCCGCCTATCCGGGCTGAAGTTGCTCTGGTTGATTGGGTTCCAATCAATAGCCGGATGTGTGCGGTATGACCAGCTGGCTCGTTCAAAGCCTCGAAGTCGCGCGGGGCTAGTAGGTGTCTGTTTATCATCACTGCCTACGCCCCCACAAACTGTAGCGATGATTCGCTAAAAGACGACTTTTAGGGACAACTGAACGAGCTCCTTCGCTACAGAAGAAGCACAAACACTTCAGGGTTAGCTGGAGATCTGAACGTTCATGTTGGGCAATTGTCAACTGCTGAACTGCATCTGGGCGACCAAGAGCTGTAGGCTCCCGTAAAGTTAACGGGATGACAAGCTAGACAACCTAAATTAGCTCTTCAAGGTAAGAATGGATATCGCCGAGTTGTCATAATTCAGTAGGAAGATCTAACGAATTCTGTGGTGCAGATATAACACAGAAAGTGTTCCATGTATGAACTGACTCAAATACTGCGTTGTGAAGATAAAAAAAGTCATGTCTTAGTCTGGTTTGATTTCAACGAAGGGAGTGATATCTTAGGCTTGCGTTGTTTCCTTCGCTACGGGAACGTCAACAACACTTAACGATGACTACATCATATGTAATTTATTCGCTCGGTTAGTTTCCCTCAGAATCCAACACAGACAATTCGTTACTACTTCGGTGTTAGAAAAATTAACACTTGTTATGCAACAGTTCGTTTCTCCAATTTTGGACCCCTGTATCCTGCTGACGTTTCCCTCCATATCAGTAGAGAGTCAGGTTCGGTCAATTTTTCTGTTTTGCACCTCATCAGTTTAGCTGCTATTGTATCGCCATTTTACCCATCATGAGAACTAAACGTATCAATGGTGGTCCTACGACTGTGAATACGGCTACGACCACCAACTCGACAGTACCAAAAGTGCACCCAAGTTTGATGAGTGAATTCAAAACCGTTCTTCCCGATCAATTGACAGAAACTCCCGGGAAAATTAACGATTTGCTTTCCATTCATGGAGCTTTGGCTAAGTTGTTGGAAATTTGAAAATTTAATAATTTCAATGAACGGAAAGCGGCTAACTAACTTCTCGCGACTATTGCTCACGAAGTAAGTGTATGCACCCAGAATGCCTATAACTCACATCACCAAGGTTCCGGACCCCCTGGCTCTCGACAGAGTGAAGAACATACGAAGTGTGGGCAACATGGAACTAGACAGTTGCACCATTGTCTTCACCTTTAAAAGCAGAGGCTAGTAAGAGCATTTTTATAAAACATATTTAACATGAGAGCTCAGACGAACCTTAGCCAGCTACTAGTTAAATTCGATAAGACGCCGCTACAGAGGGCAATTTTATCTCGGTATGCGGATTCTACCGAACAACATAGACGCAGACCACAGAGCCTGACCGTAACACCAAGCGTAGAGTTAAATTCATCCCCTACACAGGTACTTGCAGCTACAAGAACATGCAGTGTTGCAAGGCGAAAGACAAAAAGGGTTAAATTCGACACCGCAACGTGCAAACCACTCCTTGATATGTTGCTAATAATGCGACCACAATACTTGTTCGGAGCTGGGACTCAGACTTGTAGGACGCGGACAATGTGCTTGAGATGGACAGCGCCCCTCCTGGTGCTACTACTGACTCTTGTGATGTTCAATTACCAAATTCTGTTTCATCAGCTTGTGCACCGCGGGTCAAGAAATTACCAATAAGACGCAAGACATCAGTGATTCCATGTGCGCAAAATTGTGCTTGTCACCACAATGAGGAAAACCGCTTCTTGACTGCAGAAACGAAAGTTACCAAGGTACCAGACAAACCTCGATACGGACAGATAATCAAGAGAACCCAGACCACGATAGCACCACAGTACCTGTTTCCGCAAACTAGGGCACCATACGAACACATTTAAGTGCGGGAAAAACCGAATATACCAAATCGTAACTCGAAGTGAAGCTGATACCTTGCTGCGCAAGGACATCGAAAAACTAACTCCCAATCCCGCGCCAGATCCACATAACGGACTGACCTACATGGATGCCAGTGGTCGACAAATTCCCATCCATCATCCATTGCTTTCTGCTGCCTCTCAATAATTTGAGACATGTGTCCCGCTCTTACTAACACCTGGGCCCTTTGTGTAATACGGGGAGTTGCAACTTGTCACCAACTATTTTGATTTCTAACTTGTCACAGCCTCCCGCAAATTGTTTGTAT